TGTCCCTCAACATGAGCGACCGATCGAGCAGCATCTCCGAGGGCGGCCCCACCGACCCGCCGCCGCCCTACTCGGCCCCGCACTCCACCCTCGTCGCAGTCCGGACGTCCTCCGCCTACGCCCTCGCCGCTACGCCCCGGCCGCCCTCGCCCACCTACGGACACCACAATCCGTACGTGATTAGCGGTGGCGACAGCGGCTACAGTTCGGGGTCAGTCGACAGGTGCTGTGGACGGTCATGTTGATGCTCGAGTGCCGGTTTTCGTGTGGTGAATCGCTGCTTTTATGCGGTGCTGTTTCTGGGGCTTCGGGTTCAGGCCCCAAGAGCGCTTTGGGCGAAGGATGTGGTCACTCATGCTGCCGCTCTTGCAGAGACATGGGTTGTCTGGAAAGCATCGCTTGTGTTGAGCGGATGTGTATGCTGATGATGATTATGGCTATATTCTGTGTAATTTTTTTTCTCTGATATTCCCGTGAAAAGCTTTTTTGGATAATCGTGTTGTTTTTCTTCCTTCTCTCCCGCAGGCCTCTCGCTACATTCCCACAGACGTTCTTGTCTCCTGCCTCGCCCGCCCGCCCTCCGCCCCTGAGAATCACGTCCGCGATGCCCCAGACCTTCGCCCCCGCTCTCACGCCCACCACCCGCCCCTGCAGCACCGCCCATATCATCCACACACACCACCCGGGCCCCGACGAGAACCTCTACACTGCCACGAAGTTTTAAGGGCGCACTGCTTCTGCGGCTGACACCTCCTGTTGCTCTGCTTCCTCTGCGTGCACACACATACACACACACACACACACACACACACACACACACACACACACACACACACACACACACACACACACACACACACACACACACACACACACGCACGCGCACGCGCACTAACGCAGAGGAAAGGGAGCGCTCATAGGACGGTGGGTTTGAGGAAGAACAAAAGAAGCGAGATATGGAGAAGAGATAAGGAAGTGAGATAAAAAAGGTCAACCGACGAGAACCGTTCGGGGGCAGCATGGTTGGGGGAGACCATGGAGCCCCGGGAACTTAAGGAAGGAAGGAAGAAGAGGAAGGAAGAAGAAACAGTGGGGAGAAAGAAGTACATCACGTCCAGCTATCGAAGACAAGATTTCTTCACACGGGAGAAAAGGGGGAAAAAAGAGAGAAAAAGACTAAGAAAAAGATAGAAAAAATGCCTAAGTTTCTGAGCGTCTCCGAATCCTTCCGGTGACGAGAGATAAAACTTTTTAAATTGCTCAGAATGCCGAGGCCATAACGGGCAGCCATGTTGACGACGACCAGCCCCTTAACCCCTTGAGCGAAGGGGACCGTCCAGGTGGCTGGCGAGGAGGAGGGGAGGGAGGGGCAGGGGGAGAGGCATCCCTCGCCACCCCGCTCTCAACTTCTCTTGTTCGACTTTGAGGAGACTTTTTCTGCTCTCACTGATGGTGCATACTGTTTATAACAAGGCTGATTCAGAAGCCGTGTGTTTTTATGTATGTGTATATATAGAAGACGAGAAAAAAATTGTATTCTGAAGTGATTTCCCGATTGTGTTGGCGACTCTCAAGCAGAAACCAAGAGGTCCAACGCAATCTCCTTTTATTCTGTGTGTGGGATGCGAACACTGGGTGAAAGAAAAGAATTTCCGTGAACGTTATTTTGAAGATCTTTCATTTTCTATTTCTCACTTTCGACCCGCAAACCCTACACCCTGGTACATGTACTTAGGTCCAAAGTGTAAACTCCTCTCTCCGTGATAACTTCGATCGCTTTGCCTAGCTCTGTGTAGTGTGCTTGTGCACGTACAAGAGCGGTGTTGAACAAGTGTGCGAGCTGGGATGGGGAGAGGGGAGTGGGGAGAGTGGAGTGGAGAAGAGAGAGGTTAGAGTGGAGTGGAGAAGAGAGAGGGGGAGAGTGGAGAGAAGTGAAGAGAGGAAAGAGGAGAGAGTGAGAGAGAGTGAGCTCCCAAGCACAACAAGCACCGCAACTTTCATTTCTGGCGTCGAGGGAGTTTCGGCCAAACTCGGCAGAACTGTTCTTCCGAGCTCTGAGAACTTATCATTCAGGTATTATAAACTTTCCGAGGCTGTTCTCTCCAGGAGGGCTCTCGCAGCTGTTACTCGTGACTGATACTTATTAAGTGGAAAAAATAAACAAACCAACAAAAAACAAAAGCAAGAACTGCATTTATTTTTGGAAAAGGGGAGAAAAAGAACGGCAGTGATGAATAGAACAATGAATTTTAAAACATGTGGATAAGAAGTGTAAGAAAAGAAAAGAAAAAAGAAAAAGAAAAAAATAACAAATCTCGAGACATACATTAAAGAACGTATATGTTTATGGTGCTTCCCCCTTTTTGGTTCAACTTAGAATGAGCGAAAGAAAATGAGCATATATCTATATTTTTTGCTAAAATATGAATAGATGATATTGTAGGTGAAAAATATACCAGAGTGTCACGCAAGAGATTAAGAGAACTGCCTCCCTGTCTCTGCCTCCCTCCCTCCTTCCTCCTCTTCCTCTCCGTCCTTCCTTTTCCTCTTCCTCTTTGCTGTTTTTTATTCTTCTTTGTCTTCCTCATACTTCTCCCGTTCCTCCTCCTTTTTCTCCGTCTCCTCTACCTTCCCTCCCCTCTTTCTCTCTTTCTCCTCCCCCCCTCTCTTACTCCTTCCTCCACCTCCTCCTCTCCTTGCTTCCTCCTCCTCTTCTTTTACCTTCTCTTCCTCTTCCTTCACCTTCACCTTCACTCCTCCTCCTCCTCCTCCTCCTCCTCCTCCTCCTCCTCCTCCTCCCTCCCTCCCTCCCCCCGACGCCCTCCCACCAATTGGTTTCCTCGAATTAGACTTTCACTGTTTTTTTTTTTTTTTTTTTTTTTTTTTAACACTTTCAGACTTCTGAAGAGAGAGAAAAAAGAACAGGAAGGGCGAGAAGAGAATAATAACAATAACGAAAGCAAGTCCAGATGAAAACGAAGCCGTCCAATTATAACTTCCATCGCTCGGAGCCGATGGCGGGTCGCTGGCCGGGAGGGAGTCGGGCGCGTCGGGCCTGCTTGGCTCGTCGGGTCGGTCGGTCCGTATGGTTCGTCGGTCCTTCGTGACTCGTCGGTCGTCGTCGGTCCGATATGGTTCGTCGGTCCTTCGTAGCTCGTCGGTCGTACTTGGCTCGTCGGCCTTCCGTGCTCGTCGGTCGTACTTGGCCCCGTCGGTCCTACTTGGCTCGTCGGTCCCTCGTGACTCGTCGGGTCGTCGTCGGTCCGATATGGTTCGTCGGTCCTTCGTGGCTCGTCGGTCCTTCATGGCTCGTCGGTCCTTTCATGGCTCGTTGGGTCCTCGTGGCTCCGTCGGTCCCTCGTGGCTCGTCGGTCCTCGTGGCTCGTCGGTCTCGTTCTGGCCTCGGCGTCGGTCCTTCGTCTCGTCATTCGTGGCTCGTCGGTCCCCTCGTGGCTCGTCGGTCCCTCGGCTCGTCGGCTCGTGGCTCGTCGGTCCCTCGTGGCTCGTCGGTCCTCGTGGCTCGTCGTCCTCGTCGTGGTCCCTCGTGGCTTCGGTCGTCCTTCGTGGCTTGTCGGTCCTTCGTGGTCCTCGGGTTCGTGGCTCGTCGGTCCCTCGTGGCTCGTCGGTCCCCTCGTGGCTCGTCGGTCCCTCGTGGCTCGTCGGTCCGTCGTGGCTCGGTCCCTCGGGCGGTCGTCGTGGCTCGTCGGTCCCTCGTCGGGTGTTCCTTGTCGGTCCCCTCATCTCGTCGGTCCCTTCGTGGCTCGTCGCCTCGTGGCTCGTCGGTCCCCTCGTCGGGGTTCGTCGGTCCTCGCGGCTCGTAGGTCCCTCGCGGCTCGTGTCCCTCGCGGCTCGTCGGTCCCTCGCGGCTCGTCGGTCCCTTCGGCTCGTCGGTCCTTCGTGGCTCGTCGTCCTCGTGGCTCGTCGGTCAGTCGTCGTCCTCGTGGGCTCGTCGGGTCCCTCGTGGCTCGTCGGTCCCTTCGTGGCTCGTCGGTCGGTCGGTCCCTTCGTGGCTCGGTCCTTTCATCGGTCCTTCGTGGCTCGTCGGTCCTGGCTCGTCGGTCCCTTCGTGGCTCGTCGGTGGCTCGTCGGTCCTTCGGGCTCCGTCCGCTCGTCGTCCCTTCGTGGCTCGTCGGTACTCGTCGGTGGCTCGTCGGTCCCTCGTGGCTCGTCGGTCCTTTCATGGCTCGTCGTCTTCGTGGCTCGTCTCCATGGCTCGTCGGTCGTGGCTCGTCGGAGCTCGTCGATAGAGCTGAAGTTGAATGAGTGACAAGCCAGTGCCCGAGAAGTGCCAAAGATCCCTCCCCCCCCCCCCCCTCCTCCCTCCTCTGCCTTCTTATCCTCTCGCCTTCTCCCCTCCCTTTCCTCCCCTTCCCCTCCCCTCTTCTCCTCCCTCCCCTACCCACATCCCTCACCCCCCTTTCCCATCCTTTCATCCCTCTCTCCCGGAAAAAAGAGAGAAAGGAATTTCCATTAACGGATTATCTAAGGATTTACGTAGAAGACGAGGAAAGACGATGAAAGAAAAGAAAAGAAAAAACGAAAAAATGGAAAAGAAAAAAAGCAAAGAGTCGTAGCCGAATACGGGTAAATTGCCAATGTGTTTAAATGCGACTAAATGCATTTCTCACGTCGAGGAAGAACTAACTAACAGGTGAAGATTTTTGGGTGCCAATTGTTTATTTATCCGAGAAGGGGCGGGAGGCAGTGGCTTCATCAGAGGCTCCCATTTTTATGAACATAAGAGCTTTATATACAAGTAAGCTATATCAACATTACATAAATACATATATATATATATATAAGAATTAACTTTTGTGAATAGCCTCACCATGAACCAATGAGTTTAGAAATGACCGTAGTGTTTGTATTATTTGGGATGTCCAGCGGTGACCCTCCGAAAACGCGCATTTTTTTCCCTGGATGTATTCTGGTTCGCTAAATGTGCTGTGCCAATCATTAGTGTCTTTGATGGATTTTCCAAAGGTTGGAAAGAAAGAGACGAAAGTGAGGTGAAGAAATATGCAAGCTGGAAATCAGAAAAAAGGGGAAATAAAGAGAGAAAGAACTTGAGAGAGTTTAGGTTAGTTACCGGTGACGCAACATTTTTTCTTTCACTCTCTTTATTTTTTTTCCTTTCTTTTTTCCACACTTCTTTTTCTCTTAACTATTCCCCTCCTCATCCCCTTGTTACCGTGTTTTCTCAACAAGGCTGCTAATTGATCGCTTCATGTGTATGCAAATTCTTTCACTTTTTTCTAACCTCGTCCTACGTGATCTTTGGCCTTCTATCCTCCCTCTCATATATCCCATAGTCACCCCGCGACCCAGCCTTTTGCCCCTTCCTTACCCATTCCCCAGGACGACCCCTTCCCTACCCCTCCCCTCTCCCACGTACCCCAGGACGACCCCTTCCCTACCCCTCCCCTCTCTCACGTACCCCAGGACGGCCCCGGCCTTCCCCATTTCCCCAGGAGACACTGTCATCAGCTTGCCTCCATTAGCAGGCTCGGCAACCCTTCCACTCTCCGTTTTCTATGTTCGTTTTCTCTCACTTTCCCGCCGTCCTTGTCCTCAGTTTTCCCATATCCTGTTTCTAGTCCTATATCCTTTCCCATTTTCACCTGTTTTTTCTCCGTACTCTTTTTTCTCATCTTTCCTTGTCACTATTTTGTCACTGTATCTGCTCTTTCTTTCTTTCTATTTTTTGTATCCTCAACGACTTTTTTCTCTGATCGTTTCTCGCCGCTGTTCTTTCTTTGGTGTCGTCCATTAGTGGTCGTCTTCCTACGCGACCAAGAAATAAAAAAAAAAGAAAGTGTGATTTTTAGACGAAGAAGAAAAAACGTCCTCGTGACAATTCCTTTTACTAAGATACGTAGAGCAGCCGGGCCAATCTCATACGCAGGTATCCTGTGCTATGTACAGTGTATTGTAAATGATCTTTGTAAATGAGTGATTTTAAGAGATAAGGAAGTCCAAAATTATATGTTTACGTATTCCAGAGTCTACGAAAGACGGACAGGGATTGAGTGGAGTGTATGCGAGTCTTCGTTATAGACTGATTTCGTTATAGATGCGTGTTCGGTATGGGTGCTTTCGTGCTCGGTATCGGAGAGCGGAAGATGAGAATGTGATATAATTGTAAATTCATCCGGCTGTCAGTGTTTCGTTTCCCCGTTGTGTTCCTCGCCTCGAAGTCCTGCAATATTATCATGTACTGTAGCCTTAATCTCTTGTTTTATTTCGGTTTCATGAAGCATTCGTTATCTTCAATGTTTTCGTTTTTTGTTTGTATCTTGGTTTGAAGTTTTTGATGACTATTGCTTTGAAATTATCATTATTGTCATTATCATAATCGTTTTTAGTTTTTGTTACTGTTGTCATGGCTATTATCGTCATAATTATTATCAACATTAGCATTACTATTATCATTGTTATTACTATTATTTTCATTATTATTGTTTTAGCAATATCATTATTATTATTATTATTATTATTATTATTATTAATTATTATTATTTATTAATTATTATAACTATTATTATTGTTATTATTATTATCATTATTATTATTATTGTGATTATTATTATTGTCATAAATATCATCATTATTTTCATAATTATTGCTATGACTATTATTGTAATTATTTACAGTATGATTATTACATGAAACTATAGTGTGTAACATTGTTCCATTAGCTTTTATTTGTAGATATGCCTCTTTTTCTTCTCACGTGCCCAAGATTTTTTGAAAGTCAGCGGCACGCATTTAAAATCAAAATAAGAAATGTAAAAAATAACTGATCTCAGGCACACATGAATGTCTAGACGGCATGGAAGGCGCGCTTTGATTGGTGGAGAAGATGCAAATATTTAAAACAGTAACTTCGACCTCTTCGGCTTGAAATATCAAATTTTGGAATATAAAAATTTGCTTTTAGTGATTATGGTTTCTCTAGTATATTTCTTTTAAAAAGAGCATATTACCGAAAAAGGGGAAATAGAGAAAAGAAGAAGAATGTGGAAACAGAGACTAGAAAAAAGGAAAACGGAGAAAAGAAGAAGAAAAAAAAGAAAACGGAAACGGAGACAAGACAAAGAAAACGGAAGCAATTCGGAACCAATCAAACCGCGGCCTTTCGAAGTGATCAAAAAATAAAGAAAAGGATTCAGATTATTCATAAAGAGGCTTTCAGGTGTAAATATCATTTTATGTTCAGTGTATTCTTATTATTTTTTTGTCTTTTATTGAAATAATCATCCATATCCAAATGTCAGCGAAGGGAATGGAAATCCACG